GCTGGCACCGGGCGCAACAGACACTGCATTGAAAGAGGCCGAGAGAGGCTCGGGCATCGTGCGGGCGCCGAGGCCGCGTGCGGGGCCGAGTTGCAGCCAGACAGAGAAGCGACCAAGGGGACAGGAGCAGCAAGGGGACTGGAGCCTTGGCAGGGTCCCCGCGCCCCTCTGCACAGCTGCACCTGCAGCCTCACGTGGATGTGCCCATGCAGCCCAGGACGCAGCTGGGAAGTGCATCGGGGTGCAGACGTGCCCGGCGGGACGCGGCGCCGTGGGGCTCCCACCTGAAGCAGTCGGCGTGCCAGTCTGCGTTGAGAGCCTGCAGGTACTGCCCGTCGTAGATGCCGTGGCCACAGCTCGCACACACAGGCAGGTCGGTCCCTGGGAGGGCGACAGGGCTGTCAGCGCCTGCGGGCGGCCCCATTCTGCCCCCAAGCACCCACGCGATGCCCCGTCCCGCTCTGCCCTGTCCCGCTCTGCCCCGTGAGCTGGCACTGGCCCTGCAGGGCCTGTGCAGCCCTGGCTCGCTCGATCGCCATGCTTTACGTAACGGTGACAGGGTCACCGCACTCACGTCCCCGGAGCAGGAGCCGGGATGGGTGCTCGGCACAAGGCAGCCCACAAGGGTGGCAGGGGGTGCCCTGGCCAGAGCGCTGGGTGTCCCCGGTGCCTGTGACCAGCCGGGGGGTGGCAGGAGGACACGGGGTGGGCATTGGGAGTGCAGCGGGGTGCAGATGTCTGGGTGCTTGTGCCCAGCTGCATGGAGGGAGCTGGGGGTGATGGTGCCAGGGGACATCTGTGGGGATGTCCAGCAGTGGTGGAATAAGGACAGAGGGAGTGCAGGGGATTTGGGGCTGGCAGGACTGTCCCCACACAGGGGACACAGCGGATGCAGGTGCCCAGCTGCAGTGGGCACAGGGGGGGGGACTTGGGCGGCAGCCAAGTGCGCAAGGCTGGCAGCGTGAAGGGAAGCAGGGACACGGAGGGGACCTGGGGCACGGAAGGGCAGTATGGAGGGACACGGGGGTGCGGGACGGTGATGCAGGGAGGGCTGTATCCTTCTGGGGTACAGATGGAGGCAGGATGTGGGGACACATGCCGGGGTGCAGGAGGGACGCGGGGACACACACAGAGGGTGCCCCGGGAGGGCCGAGGGTGCAGGATGGAAGGCAGGTGCACACATGGGGACAGATGGGGTGCAGGGGGTGGCACTAAGGGCACAGGATGGGTGCAGAGGGATGCAGGGTACAGGCAGGGATGTGGCTGGGGGCAGGA